ACCTACATACAAAACTACTATACATACAAACGTACATACATATATAAGTACCTACGTACCTACCTACCTACATACATGCCTACCTACATAAATACATACCTACATACAAACCTACATACATACAATACAATACAATACAATACAACTTTATTTATAGAGCACTTTAAAACAACACTGTTGGCCAAAGTGCTGTACACTAGGACATACAAAAACATAAAAACCCCACACGTTAAAAATGTGAAATAAAATAAAGATAACAAATAAAATAAAACAAATAACTTAGAGTCATTAAAACCAACATTTCAAACTGAAGTAAAAGCCAAAGAGAAAAGATGTGTCTTCAGAGAAGACTTAAAAACAGGAAGTGCGTATATCAATCAATCAATCAACTTTATTTATATAGCACATTTTAAAAACCACAAGGGTAGCCAAAGTGCTGCACAATAAAACAATAAAAAAACAAACAAGACAATAAAAACATACAAAGCACAAACAAAGAAACATAAAAACCATTCACATACCAGTTTCACAGCAGGTGTATTAAAAAGCCATAAAAGTTAAGATCACGTGTTAAAAGCCAAAGAATAAAAGTGTGTCTTTAAAAGAGATTTAAAAACAGGAAGAGAGGAGGCCTGTCTCACACTCAAGGGTAAAGTGTTCCACAACCTGGGAGCAACAACAGCAAACGCTCTGTCACCTCTGAGCTTCAGCCTAGTTTTAGGGACTGTCAGCAGCAGCTGATCAGCTGATCGTAGGGATCGGGGTGGACAGTAAGGCTGAAGCAGCTCAGACGGATATGGTGGGGCAAGGTTGTTCAGACATTTAAAAACAAACAGCAAAAGCTTAAAATTAATTCTGTAGTGCACAGGGAGCTAATGAAGGGATGCCAGGATGGGAGTAATATGCTCGCGCCTACGAGCCTGAGTTAACAGGCGAGCAGCAGAGTTCTGCACAAGCTGCAGACGAGCAAGAGACGTCTGGCTAATGCCTGCATACAGCGCATTACAGTAGTCAAGACGAGCTGTGATAAAAGCATGGATTAATTTCTCCAAGTCAGGTCTTGCTAGGATTGGTTTCACTTTTGCTATTTGGCGGAGCTGATAAAAACTTTTCTGAACAACACTGCTGATCTGTTTTTCAAATTTAAAATCAGACTCAAACTTCACCCCCAGATTGGTGACACAGTCCTTGAGATAAAATGACAGTGAGCCAAGATCTATGCTGGGAGAGGAACGGCAACTTGGTCCAAACATCATAACTTCAGTCTTGTTCTCATTTAGACTAAGGAAGTTAAGAGAGAACCATGTCTTAACATCATTAAGGCAGTGTGTAAGTTGTTGAACTGTGTTGTTTTGTGCCATGGGAAAATAGATCTGGCAATCATCAGCATAAAAGTGAAATAAAATGCCATGCTTCCTAAAAATCGAGCCAAGGGGGAGTAAGTAAAGGGCAAATAAAAGAGTGCCAAGGATTGAGCCCTGGGGGACACCATGTGGAAGAGGAGCAGTGGAAGACATAAAATTGTCGATTTTTACGCAGAAACTCCTATTGGTTAAATATGACCAAAACCAATTGAGGGTGACACCCCTGATGCCCACACAGTGCTCAAGACGAGAGATTAAAATGCTGTGATCAACAGTGTCAAATGCAGCAGACAAATCTAAGAGCACTAAAACAACAGACTTTCCGGAGTCTGTGGACAAGAATATATCATTTGAAACCCTCAAAAGTGCACTCTCTGTACTGTGGCGGGCTTTAAACCCAGACTGAAACGGCTCAGTGATACCATGGTCCTCTAAAAATGGTAACAACTGGTTGTAAACAACCTTCTCTAATAGTTTTGAAATAAATGGGAGATTAGAGATAGGCCTGAAATTGGAGCAGAGAGAGGGGTCAAGACCTGTTTTTTTGAGTAGAGGGCAAACAAATGCATGTTTAAAAGCCTCAGGTACTATACCAGAGGAAAGACTGCTATTGATAATTGATATATATATATATATATATATATATATATACACACACACACACACACACACAATTTGTATATAGTTCTTTTTAGTCTGTTTTGATAACTAGTGAATGACTGCTGAATTTTTTTCATTTAGATACTAATGAACATGTAGAGAGGCTGAATAGCTGTCTACCTTCACATGGTTTGTCAAGGCTGTGACCCTCCAGTAGGTGTCTCCCTCACCCACCACCTGTCAGAACTGGTTGGTGAAAGCTGGGACTGAAAGTTAAAAAGTCAAATCACATTTTGTTGTGACTACAGTACTCTTCCCTGTGGTAAAAATATGTGATATTTTCAGTGCAAATTCCTGCAGGCTGACAATTGTATTAATTAACCACAACTCTATGAACATTCAAAAACTGAATGCAGCTCTTAACAACTATAAAAATGCTCACTTTGTATTTACAGCATGTAAGAGAGAAAATGTTATTCTATCCTTCATATGCATGTATATCCTTCCCCCTGTAAAAAAAAAAATAAAGATGGCATTGAATGGAGGTGATAGGAACCAGAGCCTCTTGACTGGTCGGCCCAGCACCTGCAGGAAAAAGGCTGCGACCATCATCTTCACCCTGAAAAACGAAGTGAGCGGTCTTGTTAAAGCTCTTAAGCTTTTCCAGGTGGGTGCTTTACGATCACATTTATGAGCTTACTTAGATACTGATGTCTTTTGTTACTTTAAACCTTTAACTGCTGAGAACTTGGTTGATACTTGATTGTGCTGAGAACCCGTGCACGTGTTCGGACCCTGTCTGTGCAGGAAAAACACATCAGCCTTGTTCATATTGAGTCTCGCAAGTCCAAACGAAGGGATTCAGACTTTGAGATCTTTGTAGACTGTGATTCAGAGCATGAGCAGCTGAAGGAGCTGACTGAGCTGCTGAGGAAGCACACGGACATTGTTGAGATTACACCATCTGACAGCTCCAATCTGCTCCATGACGGTGAGTCATATTGAACTCCTGGATGAACACAATCAGACATTAAACACTGCTTAGGCACCTTTCATTCTGTTAAGAACCAGATTTAAATAGTGATATTTGTTTTAGGTGTGGACTGTACTCCATGGTTCCCCAAGAAAATCTCTGACTTGGATCTGTGTGCCAACAAGGTTCTGATGTATGGCTCTGAACTAGATGCAGATCACCCTGTATGTAGCCCTGAATTTATGTTTTCATACATACACTGTCTAATTATTGCACAAAATATAAGAAAAACAGAAACACTGGTTACACTTTAACAATAAAAAATTTCAGAGAAAATGTAAACTGAGGTTTAATCATACTATTTTTACAGGGGTTCAGAGACAAAGTGTACCGTAAAAGAAGGACATATTTTGCTGATCTGGCTCTGAACTTCAAACAGTAAGTTTCAATTTCTCCTTTAAGGTGTTTTATTTTGATTTGTTGTTAATTAATTGAAACATCAATAATATCAACAAACGAGTCCAAACTAATGATTAGTACTGATCCATCACACACGTTTGTCTTTCTATCTTTACAGGGACTTTGCATTGACTTCCATTCATGTTTCATTCATTTCTATAGCCTAACCCTGACCTTTATCATAAACCTAACCATTACCAGTACATACATAACCATAACCCAGGGGTGTCCAAAGTGCGGCCCGAGGGCCATTTGCGGCCCTTGGAGTGATTTTGTGTGGCCCTTGACTGTAGTTAAAGAATGGTATAATTTTGACCCACAGGCTTAAGAGGATGGTGCAGATGTAGACCTTCTTTAGACTTAATGCTGATACTTTTTAAATATAATTTTTAGGTTTAACAGCAAAAACGATCAATATAATCTCAAAATGAGCACTATAAGTGCAAGACAAATATTTAGCAATAACTTATCTCTTTATCCTACAACAAACATTTACTGACCTACCAAATAGTAGAATTTTGGATAATAATTTATAAAAGTTGGCTAAATATAACAAGTGTTGTCAAAGAAAATAATTTCAGTTGATTAAATAATCGATGGTTAGGAATTACATTTTTAAAAGAAGTGCTATCATCGACATACAAGGTGATCAACTTTATCAGTTTCTCTGCAAACCTTCCATAAATTTGTTTTAATGACTGCCAGCTGGACCGTGTTTCAGAACTTTGATGACCCTTTTGGGCCATCCATGGTCCAAACGGGTGTTTAAAGCTTCACACCCCCCCCCCCCCCCCCCCCCGAAAAAAAAAAAACTAATAATTTTATTTCTTAAATTTACAAAAAGTTTATGTTTATGAATCTCCTAATGTTCTGGATCTACAATAATGTAAACTAAACTTTTAACCTTTCTCCAAAATATTGTGCAAGTTGTTGAGAGTTTTAAAAGGGGGGAGGGGGATGTCACGCTTTAAAAAAAAATTCTCTTCTTAAATTAAAAAGTTCTGGCCCACGAGTCATTTCATCTAAACAGTTCTAGTCCACCTATAAAAACATTTGGACACCCCTGCCCTAACCCATCAACAACACTTGAACCTTATGGGACCCATGGCGTTGGTCCCCACAAGACGCAATTGGTCCTCACAATGTAGTGTTGAAAAATGGGCCTCACAAAGCAACATAAACAAGTACACACACACACACACACACCTGTTTACTTAAATGGATCATTTAGCAGCTGTAGAGCTCAGAGTTTTAGAGAAGAGTCCAAGGTAAAAAATTAAATGGACATTTGAGCTGTGGTCAAAGTGTACATATTAATCTAGAACATATTGTTTGTAACGCGAGCTGAGTTTATTTTAAAATCCTAACTGTTTCTGCATCTTTTAACTTTAGATGTTAAAACTTAAAATCAAAGAACACCCTCTTTAAGTACTTTTACATAGCTAAACTTGATCCTGCTCTGATTATACTTCTGCGTTCTTGTGTTATCTCGCCATTTATTCCGTTAAATAAAGTAAAGTAATTGTTTTTCAGCGGTAATCCTATTCCTCGTATAGACTACACAGCAGAGGAGGTGCGTACCTGGGGCGTGGTGTTCAGGGAGCTCAACAAGCTGTATCCCAGCCATGCCTGTGAGGAGTATCTGAAGAACCTCCCACTGCTGACCAAATACTGCAAATATAGTGAGGATAACATCCCACAGCTGGAAGACGTGTCCCATTTCCTCATGGGTAAGAGGTAAACCTGAGCCAGGACTGCAGGGATCAGTCAAACAGCTGTTTTCTTCTAAAGACAGGTTGTTCAGGACACAGTCCAGCCTTTGGTGATACAAAAAGGATCAGTCAGGTCCAGATAATACATGGATGAGGTCATGTTTCAACAAGTATTTAATAACTACTTTTTTTATCTTCTACAACCAACATATTGTTTGTGTTTTCAATATTAATTCAATTCAATTCAGTTTATTTATTTATAGCTCCAAGTAACAACAGA